GGGTTAGTGCAATATTAATTGAAAAGTTACTAGGGGTTTCCTGCAAAACGCTGAAAGTTCTTAAAATATTTTCGAGCTTATTTGGTTTTTCTCTCTATATGCTTTAAAAACTATATAACAAATTCTACAGACAGTTCTTTTTCCCCTCTCTTTAGTTTATTCTAGATTCTATTAGAATTTTGAGATTAAAGATGTAACACCGCAAGGTTTAGTCGGCTTGGTTTGGTAGGAAGTACGAGGAGGGAAGATAAGGTAATGTAAAGTTCAGCTATGAGGGATATACTTTTCCTTTTTCTTGTTTGGTTGGAGATAGACTAAGGGGGAGATGTATGATTTTTTAGTTTATTTTGCATATTCTCTCTCCTCACTCTTGTGTCCCTCTGAATTGAAGTGATTTTTTCTCTCTTCACTTTCTAGTTCATTTTGTATATTCTTTTTCTTTACCGCACTTTGCTCCGCTTCACCTTAGGGGCTGTTTGGTTCCCTGTTTTTAAGGGAAAGACTCTCTTGAAAACCTGTCAAAATGTCACTTTTTGGCAGGATTTCAGCCAAAATCGCCTCTAAAAAAGAAGATTTTGACTGAAAGCTGTTTGTGGGAAAATTTGCAGTAAAAGAAATGAAGGAAAATTGATTTGTATTCCTTTAATCTCGATTACAATTGGATTTCCTGATTACAAAAGAGAAGAGAATGATCTGGATTCTCCCCTTTATTTAATTCTGGGTTCTTCACGGTGGCGATGAGATGCCTCCCTCGAATGCTCGCGTCGAGTTTGCTTCTCGTTGACGATCCGATATCTTGATTCACTGGAACGTGGTCTTCTCCTCACGATTTGACGTTGTGGAGAACTCTGAACGAGTTTGAAACTCTATGAAGGAGTTGATTTAACCGAAAGTTGGTTATAAGCCAAGGATGAAGAAGATCTTGTTGCCGATCTCCAAAGCTCCAACCGATCCAACCGATCCAACATTGATCTGATTATCCAAAATCCGATCCTTAACTCTGTTGAGTTTGTTTGATCTTAACCGTAATTGGTTAGACAAGCCAAAGATCTCTTCTCTTCTGTTAAGGAGAAGGATCCAAAAGCCAGCCCGAGATCTCTTCTTTGCTGCCCAAAAAGAAGGATCTAAACTAAGTTGATTTCTTAGTTATTTATAGGGGATTAAGGGGTGTAACCGCCCCCTTAATTCGCTCCTAAGTGGGGCTAATGGGATGTAACCACCCCTTAAATCACTCCTGAGTGGAGTTGTGATCCCCTCAGATCGTGGGAAACGGTTTTGAAACTGTTCAGCTCGTGTTTGAACGAGTCAAACGCAAAATCCGCGTTCTGGCGTGAATTCTGCATTCAAACGCAGTGTCTGGAAGCTCGGACGCAGCGATTGGAAGCTCGGACGCAGCGATTGGAAGCTCGGACGCAGCGTCTTATTGGAAGCTGCGTTTGGCGGCTTGATCGGACGCAGCGTCTTATTGGAAGCTGCGTTTGGCGGCTTGAAAGCTGCGTTTGGCAGCAGATGGCAGCTGCGTTTGGCAGCGCTTGGAGCTGTGTTGAGCAGCAGATGGCAGCTGCGTTTGGCAGCGCTTGGAGCTGCGTTGAGCTGCGTTTGGTAGCTTGGAAGCTGCGTTTGAGCTGCGTTTGCAGCTTTTGGAGCTATGTTTGCGCTGCGTTCGGAGCTGCGTTGAGCAGCGGTTGGAGCTGCGTTGAGCAGCGCTTGGAGCTGCGTTGAGCTGCAGTTGGAGCTGCGTTGAGCAACGCTTGGAGCTGCGTTGAGCAACGGTTGGAGCTGCGTTGAGCTGCGATATGAGCTGCGTTGAGCTGCGTTCGTGGCTATGAACGCGGCGCATCTTGATGCTGGTACGCGGGGAGGACTTCCACAGCTTGATTTGAAGAGACCGTCGTCATTTTGTAATCTTTACTTTAGCTCTTTGATATGCAAGAGTCGTCAGATTGTAACTCTCGATGTTGATTGTGAAGGCTGTTAAACTAGAGCTCTCATCGGTTATCGTGAAGGTCGTCAGATTGTAACCTTCAGCGATCTACGTGAAAGTCTTCAAATTGTAGCCTTCTGGAAGTCGTCGGATTGTAACTTCCATCATCGGTGTTTTGATGGGGATCAGCTATCTATTGTGATTTTCAGACAGCCTACAAAAGCCTATCAAAAAGTGACACTTTTAACATGCTTTCAAGAGAGCATTTCCTTCAAAAACAGGGAGCCAAACAGCCCTTAAATGGAAACCGCCTCTCCTGCCCACGTGGCATCTGGAATCTGCGTAGTATAACGAGGAGAGCGGCAGCTCGTGTCGACCCGCCCGCTGTTTTCACATGCCCACGCTCCCTCCTTCCCCCTCCGTCAATAAATATAAATAATTAAATGCCCCGTTTTTGTTTTTTAATTTCATTAGCCCTAAAATCCCCAATTTCATATTCAATTTAGCCCTAAAATCAGAAGCACAATCTGTTCCAAAAAAAAAAAAAAAGACGATTGCCAAAAAAAACACTGGAAAGGTACGACGATCATATGTTGAGCTTCAGCTGAATTTTTTTTTTTTTTTTGCCCTTTTCTTTGGCAAGTAGTATTTACGTTTTCCTTCAGAAATTCTGTGTGAAATGTTGCGAAAGATGCGATCTTTTTCTTCTGTTGGAGTCGGAGACGTCATCACGCTTTGTTTTTAAGTTGTTTTTGGTCTTTATTCGTAGTGGGTTTTGTGATCGATGCAGGCTTGTTGGGCCGCCTGTTGAACATGGTCCCTGAGCTTCGCGCATCAACAACCGATTGCAATATGAATGTGGCGTCTGAGCAGCCTGTTGTTGGGTGGGTTTTGGAAGGAATCGATGATTTATTTCATTAAAGGCCTGATTTTACTCTTCTTAATTAATACGTATTCATTCTGCTTTGTTTTTTGTTTTTGCAGTTCTCTCCCCAGCAAAAAGAGCCAAGCGAAAGCCCCGAAGAAGGCTCACAAGGCTGAGAGGGAGAAGCTGAAACGCGATCAATTGAATGGGCTCTTTCTTGAGCTTGGCCGTGCGCTCGGTAAATGCTCCCTTTGAATTAAATGATCCCTTATAATTTGGACAACAATTAAATTTAGGATGGGAGGGGCTGGACGAATCTTGTATTATTAGTGAGGGTTTGCTCACTTCTTGCTATTTGAAGTGAAACCGTGACCTCTCAGGAATCTAACCAGCGCTTGGCCTGCATTATTTACGGGAGTGCTGCTAAAGGGACCTCAAAATAGGGACCCTGCATGGGACGGGTGAGGGGTCACCTCCTGGAACAGTGCATCACGGGACAGGAAGGCGACACCTCACCTGTCCTACTCACGGCCCGTATTTTAGGGTCCGGAGGCATTTTTCTATTTACGGCTAACCATTTCGAACCTTACCATAATCTAGTAGCTGTTTTTACATCATCATATTATCTGATTGGCAACCGCTCTCTTCTCCACTCTGTGCCTTTTGGTTAAACATAGTTTATTTCCCGCAGAACCAGCTCCGCGGAATAATGGCAAGGCCTGCATACTGGACGAAGCTACTCGGATTCTGAGGGATCTCATTCTACGAGTCGAAGGTCTCAGGAAGGAAAGTGCAACTTTGCTAACGGAGTCTCGCTATGTAAGCTGTTCATCGTCCTCGGTGTCTATGTTTCACCCCAATTGAGTCACGTAGTATCTGTTCGTCAATAACTCGGTTGTTTTTATGCCCATTAATATTTTTGAAGCAAGCATCCTACACGTTCCCCTACCAAAATAGAAACCTGTTGTCGTTTCATGAAGAGAAACGGTGAAATCTAAGACGGCGATCTGCCTCTAGTTCGCGGACGCAAAATCTGCTGCGATTTTAGTGGAAACTAATTCTATACAACGTCTATAATAAAGATAGTTTCAACAGCTCTGGGTAACAAGCTAGCTGCTCACACAATTTAGATAGGGTGTTGGGCCCGTGTTTAGTGAAAAAGAAGCCATTAAGCTATTTTTATACCACGAGAGAGTCTACTTATGTATTCTCTTTGATCAGGAAGTACCACTGCAGAGACACAGAAAATTGTGTTCAACCGTGAATCCAACCTAGAAACTTTAGTTATGTTCGACCTGGGCACCTGAGCCAGTACCCCATATCATTTGAAAGCAGTTAGCCATCAACGCTGAGCTGCATGGTAATGGGTTAACGATTTTAAAGTTAAGACTAGAAACGTTCATGCTGACTTTTGCATTCGTGAACAGGTCATGGTGGAGAAGGACGAGCTAAAAGATGAGAACCTAGCCCTAGCAGCCGAGATCGCAAGGCTCAACACTGAGCTTCAAGAGAGACAGAAGTCTGATGATCCTACGCGGCACAAAACTGACACAGACCCAGCTCTATGCACCCAGACGCCAGTCGCTCCTCTCTACGTGCTTCCCTTCAGTCAAGATCTCCAACCCTTGTCGGAGGCCGTTATAGCCCCATCATCACCCAAACCTACAACACAAGTGAGAAGACCGCACGCTAGATATCCCACTCCTTCGGATTCTTGGCCTTTGCAGGTCCTTTCGAGGCATCAACATAGTAGTAGCAGTAGCAGCTCAAACAGTGGGGATGAAGGTTCAGAGGAAGCGTAGGTGTAGTTAGGATGTTTGGCTTGGAGGTGTATAGATTAGTACAGAAAATGAAAAAAAAGGATGGACGCGATGAACGATGACGAAGAGAAATGTTGCTTACTGTTTCGATAGAATCCATTGAAGAGGCTGTTTTTCTTCTTATGGGATATATGGTTGATTAGGAAGTTTTAATCTACTCGAGTTGGATCGATATGTTTTAGTTTTACACTCTTTTTTGATCTATTTATGGTTGATGTTTAACTTGCTTGGTTGAGACTTGGAAAGCTAAGCTGGTTGCGTAAGAGTTTGATTCAGGGGGGCTACACCATTAGGAGGATGCCTGCAACGGGACGATCCCAGTTTGTGAAGAATGAACCGTGGTCTTGGTCGGTAAATTAGGAGCCAAAGTTTGTTTTACAGGAGATAATTTTACTGTTTCTAGGTTTTTACTTGTACACTATCGATTCTCGTACACAATTTACAATTACCTTCATCCTCCGGGTTCAGTTCAACCAACTTGGCTTTCAGGTTTTGCCAGTTTCTAGCTTGGTTTTCGTATCACTGTACGAGGGTGTTTGGCAGGACTTCCCTCTTTTAATTTATTATTATTATTTTAAGCTTTAAATTTCTGTTGGCTTTTGTGATAAAAATGCTATAAATATTATTTGGGTAGAATAGTAATTTCTTTGATCAAACCCGTCTTATTTAGGTAAGCTTATAAACTAGTTTTTTAAAAGAATATACGAGCTTTTAAAATGGAACTTATAAGTTAACTTAGTTGGTATTTCACAAATAAATAGATATGAAAAGGCTAACTTAAAAACTAGTTTGACCAACAACAATAAGCTCCTCCAAGAGTCTTTCCCAAAAAAAAAAAAAAAAAAAAAAATCGCGCCTCAGTTGCGCACTCAATGAGAGCTCTTCAAAGAAAAGCACTACCTGCTGGCAAGGACAGTTTCGCGAAAGATAAAGAACTTCAGCAAGTCTCGAGAGAGAACATAAAATTTTAAGTGCCGTCTCTTCCAGCATCTAATGCAAACTATTAACCGAAAGGAACAAATCTGTAGCTCTGCTGTGCAAACTATTAAAAGTGCCCACTTTTAATGTAAAAGGATTATCAAGGGCAACACATAACAATCACCAGCAAGAAAGCAATCTCAGACTGTTAAGGATATAACTCATCATGATTTATAAAATTAAGTGCTTAAATATAAGAAAATTTTCGATTCTCCGACAGGAGAAATATGTCAACAACTTGATACAATTTACACTCTCCTTCCTCTTTCTCTCTGTCAAGCTAACAGTCTGGATGGATTGCACAATGCAGGTTTGAAGGTTTTACATCACAATAGTTGCTCATGTCAAAATTAGTTACAGCGTGTACACCTCGCAACTCAATTGCTGCAAGATCATATGCCTCTGCAGCCTCTTCTTCCGTATCTGATTTCACCCAACAAAGGCATAACAAGGTTTTTAAGTAGCTTGTTGTAACCGTAAGCTTTTCATTAAGCATCTATGCATTTTTTTTATGTTACAACTGTATTCAGCTAGAAGAAAGCAATATTGCCATACCCATTGCAGGAATCTACAGAAAACATGATCGTTCCTTTCTTTCGGAAAGGGGGGTAAAAAGACTCGGCAAACAGAAGCAAATGGGTTGAACAACATTTTCCATGACAATTGGAACAACTTCAAAGTCTAATTTTCTAAAAAAATAAATTCCCCCAAATTATAAAGTGTATATTAAGCATGATGCCCTTTGCATGCATCCTTGTACAGCTTAATATGCTACTTACAAATGGCAATACATACCCTGCCATTGGATCGCATATTATAAGTTTCATTTCTTTGTCAAGATAACAGTATTGGAAAGTTTCAAACAAAATCGGAGGATACTCACCAAAGGTCCCAAGATAGATATCTTTTGCATCCCTGCTCTCACCAACACGGCCTATTCTAGCTTGCCATTTACCATCTTTCCGCCTTCTGGAACAAAATTTCGCACCAAAACAAGAGGAGTTTGATCAGGCATTATGAGAAATAATGAAAGGAGGCATTTTTCATTTTTCATCCGTGAAGGATGTAAGAATAAACACCTTGTTACTCCCCTATAGGCTGAAGCTCCTCTAGAGAAACAACTGCTCTGCCTGAAAAATCCCCATAATCCAAATTATGAATCAAAGCGTCAATATACATGGACAAAGTATCCAACACTACCATTGCACAGGGTGGAGCAG